GTAAGAAGAATAGGGGCAGATAAACGGTAAGACGTATCTCTATATATATATATATAATTTAAAAAAAANAAAAAAAAAAAAAAATTACAAGAAGAAAGAGCGACAAAAGAATATTATGACGACCAATAAAAAGTACACGTGCTATATATAATATATGTTCTTACCGATCACACTCACATACTAATCGCCTTAATTAGTAAACGATAAAAAGCAGAGATTATTCTATATTCAGCGTATCGTATACACTGTTATACTGTGAAATTGATAAATAAATAAATGTAATTATTTACAAATTACTTTATGATTTTTTTTTGTCCATTTAATAACTATAATAAGAAGTTCGAAACGAAATAAAAAAAAATTTTAACTCTAAGCGCTCGAGAAAAATTAAGACTCTGGATAAAAATTTACGATGATAAAGAAGATGTCTATATTCAACATCAGCTGGCAAAGTGCACGCTCGATAGCTGATCGGGTTGCACGTTACCAGGGGCATTTTAGTTCAACTATTCGACCGCTAGATGGTTATAGCGTTTCTTGTCCATGAGAAACTCTATTGAATGCAACAACAAATTGAAGAAAAATTTGAATAAATCAAACTTACCCCCTAAAATTTTTTTAAAACTTCTTACTCAATCTCTATTCAATTAAACACGAGTATCGAATTTTTTCCTTTTCTCTCTACTCGATCGAGGATTTTCCACAAGAGAAAACGCATTACTTTATTAGATCTTTTTTCGCTCGAACGTTCTTCCGCCGTTCAAAGGCAAGGTCGCGTTATTGTCAATATATTGTAAAGTTCAACGACTCGTCAATATCATCTCACGAGGAACCATAACCCGGATTATAAACTTCTAACGCTCCCTATCCATTCGAGGGGATGTGAACAGTCACGGGAAACGATTTTTCCATCGGACAGAGGTAGCGTACTAATCGAGAGGGCGTAATATTCGTCGAAAATATATCGAATGAATGAACAACGTGGGGGCCATTACGAGAACGATCGCTCTAACCCCGGTGTGATATTAAAAAAAGGCGAATTTACGATCTCGAAGATTTGTATCCGTCCAACCTCTTCCCTCGTTCGAGCATAATAAACGTAACAATTACTTCGAAAATTCCATACAGGCCGGTAATTTCGTACGCGTTGAGACGAGCAAGAGTAGTCGCTTAATTAAGACTCATGTAAATCGAGTAACCGCGCTACGCCAATTAACTTTACATCGCGAGCGAAGAGGAAGGAAGAAGGAGGAATAAAAGAAGGATCGGAGAACGAATGTTTCGTAAAAACTGCGGACGTAACAAATTTATCGAACCAAGCAAGACGCGTCTTTACATAATGCACCGATAAAATAAGATGTTTCGTTCGATTCGTTCGAGTATATTTTTCTTATTGGCGCGATCCATTACCTCGTTTCCTGTTTACAACTATATGGCCGGAAAGATTTAATTTTGAATCAGGATCACGATCGCGATTCTGTTCTGTTTGCAAAAGATTCTTTAGAAAAAAAAAAAAAGAGAAGAAATACAAATTAATAAAAACAACGGATTATCGAAATTATATAGATAATTTTAAGACTTAATTAAAATCATTTGATTCTAGGAAAATGGAAAATTTAATAAACCTTTTTTTTCCCGCGGCAAGCTTCCCGGACAATATGCTGCGGGGGCTGAAGAAGAACGGGCTGGCATAATTCTCTGCCTCCTCTTCTCCAGGTGTTCCGGAGGAAAAAAACTGACACAATTCCTTTTGTCTCCCGGTGACAGTCGCCTCGGACTATATCTAATCTTCTCATTTTCAAATTTTCCAGTTCAAAGGGAACAATGACTAATTTCCTTCTCCAAGGATCGCAAAGTTTCAAGCGTGTCTCGATGATTTTTATCAATTTTTCATTAAAAAAAAAAAAGAAAAAAAAATTTCGATCCCATTCCCTCTTTATCCAGATCTTTATCCAGAAAGGAGGAGAAACAAACGTTCTTTTCTCTCTCGATGGCTGGAATTCGACCTTTTTTTTTTTTCAAGGAAGCTCTGGATTTCGATCCATAAGGAATCATGAGCTTCCGTTGTACACACACACATACACACACACACACGTGGTGTCGATGCACGGCGAGCCGAGGTGAAGCGAGGTCGATGGAAAGTGGCATAATCGCGGATGTGGATCGACTCAAGGAGAGCAGAAGAGGAGATCCTTTACCTTACTTATGTAACGAGCGGTCGCCGTGTGTCTCGTGTCTTCGACCGAGCACACAGCGACTCTCTCTCTCTCTCTCTCTCTCTCTCTCTCTCTCCTTCCTTCATCCTACCCTCTTCAACACGGTAGCTCCCCTTTCCTCCTGTGACGTCTATCCATCCTCTCTCTCTCTGCTCTCTGTACCAGTGTCCCTGAATATCCCCCTCGGTCTTATTAGGTCGCCAATCGTCACCCCCTTTCTCCTTCGAATCCGTTTCTAACGCCGTTTCTTCCTATTCATCGTGAACTTCCTTCCTGGAATCAGACAGGAAACGTAGATTAATTATTTTCTTCGAAAAATAATAAATAAATTTGTTTCTTCTCTCTCTCTCTCTCTCTCTCTTCTCTCTCTCT